TAAATAAATAAATAAATAAATAAATAAATAAATAAATAAATAAATAAGGAAGATAAAATGTGCAAAAAAAACACACCAAGTTTTGTTACTTAAAAAATAAATATGAAAGCGAAAATACAAGGGGGAAGTTTTTGTTAGAAAAATAAAAATAAAACTGAAAATAACCAGGCACAGTGCATGCCTGTAATCCAGACATCAGGAAGAGAGGTGGCCTGTCTTTCCAAACCAGCTTTGTCAATTAAAAGCAACACACACACACCACAACAATCAAAAACCTCAGGGGCTGGAGGGATGGTGTCATGGTTACGGTCTTCTCTAGAGGGGCAGATTAGATTTCCAGCACCCACCTGGCAGCTCATGGACATCCCTAACTCTAGTCCCAGGATCACCTAACTCCCTTTTCTGGCCTCTGTGGGTAGCAGGCATGCATACGATGTGCCGACAGAGATGTAGACAAAAACCAGGAATTTTCATAAATGAAAAACAAATTCTCAAGATGAAAGGAAATTATTTTTGAGCTGCCGTCTTTCCTCCCAACACAGGAGACTGCCAAGGACACACCTGCATCTCACACTTGGCAGTCAGGTTAACGCTAGTCTGGGGGAGCTCTCTGTAATTGAAGTACCTGTCTGTGTACACACAAGCAGCTCTGGAGGATTACCTGTAATATTTATAGGTACATTTTCATTAGTGAAGCAGTATGACCTGATAAACCCATTTTAAAAGAAAATAGATGTTGAAAATTTATTGTGTGTATGGGAGGGGGCTTATGGTATAGGATTATAGGTATGTACCGCTATGTCTGGTAAATAATTTGGTGATTCTTAAATATTTGTTTTTCAATATGGGAAATTGAAACTACAGCCTCTTGCCTGGTAGCAAGAACTTTAGCATTGAACTATATTCCCAGCCCCGATGATGCATTCAATACACCCAGCTTACTGCTAGACACGGCTATAACCCCAACACTTGGTAGGCACAGACAGGAGGACCACAAACTCAAGGTGATTTGGTCTCCATAGAAAGACCTGTGTTACCATTCCTGTCAGCATGCCCAAAGCCCAGTTGACACAGACACACACAGACCCAGACACGCGCACACACGCACGCACCAGAAGATTGTCTTTCAGAGATAGATGTGGCAATGCATACCTGTAATCCCAGCATTAGGAGGCTGAGGCAGGCCTCACAGTGAACCCCTGGACTACAACTGTGGGACAAGGGCTTAAAGCCAAGCAAAAAGAATTTTTTTTTTTTTTGGTGAGGGGTGGGTTTAATGTCTAATTAATGATGGTGCATGGCAAAGTCCACAGTCAAAGCCCCTCTACTTCTTCCAGAGGGTTGAGATGGAAACTTGGGGGAAGCTTCTGTTTGGGGAGATTGAGCAAGTCATAGGGAGCAAGCCACTAAGCAGTGTTGTTCAATGGTTAGCTTCAGTTCCTGCCTCTGGTGGCCTGCCCTGAATTCCCTAAGTCACAGCCTGACCTGTGAATTGTAAAATAAAATAAATCCTTGCCTCATCAAGTTACTTTGTTTTGAGACAGGACCTCTCTATGCTTCCCTGTCTGGCCTGGAACTTGCTATGTAGATCAGGCTGGCCTCCCAATTGCTGGGATTAAAGGCACAAGCCGAAGTTCCTTTTCTGTCTTGTTTATTACGGCAACAGAGAGCTAACTGTCCACTTTCCCTGGCAAAACTGGTTTCCCTTTCTGAAATGTCACCTTAAAGCACCCTTCTCCCCAGCACCCCCTTGTGAATCAGGAATGGGGTGGGGTTGCTGGCTTTGTGCCCGCACCACCAGGACCAGGAAGGAACCTTGTCAGTCCAGCGGGCACTCTTGAACACCACTCTCACTGGGTGGGTGTTTAGTTGGTTGCACCCTTCCCAGAACTGTTCTGGGCCTTGTGCTCTGTGGGAAAAACACTGCAGGGGGACCTTGGATTTATTTCTTCTCAACACGAAAACTTAAGAGCTCGTGTTCTCTATGGCGAACAGCATGGCCAGAAGCAATGTGGGAGTTTAGTTCTGAGACAGAGCCTGGGTGGCCTTGAACTCACAAGAGATTTGCCTGTCCAGTCAGTACTGCGATTGAAAGTGGAGTCTGTGAACCAGAGTGACATTCCGGATCAAGAACCTGTGGCCTCTGGTCCGCTGTGACCAAGGAGACAGCACCACTGACGTGAAAACTTTGACACACTGGACAATGGGTCTGCTGGGGCTGAAAGAGCCGCGACCAACCAGCACCACTAAGGAGAAACCTCTGCGTCTCACTGGGACAGCCGAGTAACTCCTGAATGGCAGCTATACAAACTGTGGTCTAGGGGCCAAGACTAATTCAAGGTGGCGTTAAGAATAATGTCTTAAGAATCCCCTACATGGTACTAAAGGACCATCGTATCTTGTCCTGGCATTGTATAGTAGGGTTGGAGTCACTGAAAAGCTATCATGACTGTTTTGAGCCTCCTGCTTGCAACTCGAGGAGTACTGGGATGCTGGCATTTGTGCATCACTAGGCCAAGCAAACACTGTTATCTTACTCAACGGCTCCCTGGTATTTTGTGTGCATATGTAGATGATGTACCATAATAAGTCCATGGTCAGAGAACAACTTTTGAGTTGTTTCATGTGGGTTCTAGGACTGAAACTCAGGTTTCAGGTTTGTGCAGTAGCACATACACCTGCTGACAAACTGCGGCACCCAGGTCTGCTAGGCTGGCCGGCTGGGGAGTCCTGGGTGTTTCTGCCCCTTGCCTTCCCACTGGCATTTATCTTCATGTAAGCTTTAAATTCCAAAGTCTCTGAACACTTTAGCAGTTATGCGTGTACACGAGTAGACCTCAAAGGACAAGTGGCGGAGTTACTTCTCTCCTTCCACCTTCTGGGTTTCAGGGACCAGGCTTTCCTGGCAAGCTCCTTTCCCCCGAGCCGTTTTCCCCATCCCTTGTAGTATGAGAAATGCAGGACATGCGAGGTTCTGCAGGTAAACACACTTTTTCTCATCTGAGTTCACTTCCCAGCACTCACAGCCCACAGCCATCTGTAACCTGAACCCCAGAGATCCAATTTCTCCAGTCTCCAAGGACACTCACACGCAAATAATTAAAAATTGTTAAGTAAAAATGTGTAAAAAGCATATAAGCCAAGCAGTTAATAGTTCATATATAAAAGTAAATTCTAAGTCACTTGTAGAAGCTTGCCTGTAATTCTAGGTCCTCAGGAGGCCCAGGCAAAAAGACTACAAGTTTTAGGCCTGCTGGACCATGAGACAAGTTCAAGAACAGCTTGGAAAACTCAAGAAAACTATGTCAAAATAAAAATGAAAACCTATGTATTCTAGATCTAGGGACAGAGTCAGCTGAAAGGATGCCTGCTAGCCTAGGATTGATCCACCAAGCCGAGTTTGATCCCTGGCACTACATCAACCAGGGGAGGTGGTGCATGCCAATAATCCTAGCACCAGAGAGGCAGAGGCAGAAGAACCTCAACTTCACAGCTGAGCTCTAGGACAGCCTGAACTACATGAGAGCCTGTCCAAATTCCCTGTATTTATAACCAGTTTTCCTTTCGTTCACTCCATTTCTATTTCTAAGACGGGAAATTCTTGCTCTCAGAGGTAGGTTAAATAATTGGTCACATTTAAATTTTGTAGCAAGACTGTTATTTTAGCATAGCGACAAAAAGACAGATAGGAAAACCTTCCAAGTCCAATCACACAAAGTCACCTGCTTACACATTCAGTCAGTCAGCAGTCATACACAAAAAGCCAAGACTAGTTTAAAAGGGGGGAGGCCAAATTATTATTAATTTAAAATTTGATTACAACCAATTTTGTTGGCATTTAAAATTTGAGTCGTTTTAAATCTCAATAATGGCTACATATTGATATCCAGAAATCAAGTTTGGTAAAAACAAGAAATTTTCTAGTAATTACAGATTAAAAGGCAAGTCAATTTAGAGAAACACAGACAAAGTCCATGTTTACAGTGATTGTGCCAGATTTAACTTTCAGTAGTACATAGTAAACTGTTTCACATTTAGGTCTTCACTTTTGAGATTTGGGAGCTGTTCTTAAAAACCTTTCCGTACCTGTGCAAACGGTCTTCCACGTACGTGCCGTAAGCACCCATTTAAAATATCTTCACTGTATATATACAAAACACCCACATTTGCAGGGCAAAATACATACTTTTATAACAAAACTATAATGTACCTCTCAAGTATGAACAATATACACATAATACATGGTATACAGTATTTACAAAATATAAAATATAATACAAGCTTCTTGTGTGTGACTTAAGCTCATCTCCTGTCGTATGCTGCAACATGGCAAGTTTCCACGGTTGTATCCATTTCCTTTTAGAGTCCAAGGATGTGGGAAAAAAATTCTATGGTTAACATACATATTGAAAACTAAAATCTACGTCTGAACTTTGAGGAGCGTTTTCAGGTGCACTGCCATGAGCTCCCGGCTGTGGCTGGGATTTTCAGCAGTGTTTCCCATCCAGTGACTTGGAGGCTTTGGAAGAACACTAGGGGAAGGTGGGTCGCTAAACTTTGCTCCCGCGTAATTTTCCTTTTGGCTAACTTCTGTCAGAAATGCTGATTTCTTCAAATGGTTACTTTTAATGTTCTCTGTATTTTTAAAAGGCTTTTTTTCCTGCTTCTGCATTCTATCGGGGGAAGCAGAGTCCTGCCAAAAGTCATTTTCATTCCTTTTTGCAGAGGTGATCTTGGTTAGTGGCAAGTTAAATTTGCTTTTCTGTCTGTTTATCTTTGGTTGTTCACACAAGTGTATGCCATGTACAAGCTGGCTGTGGGGAAGGACAGTTTTCTCCGATTTTCCCATCTTTGATTTTAACACCTACAAAGGAACACAAAAGTGAATAGTTTGAAAGTTATCTTTACAGCATATATTTTACATATTTTCTTCTAAATTCCTCTAGAATCGAATCCAGTTTCGACAAGGTATATGCTAGCTACTAGGGTTCCAATTACTCATGTCTCTTATACTGCTACTTAAAACATGAACTCAATGCTGTTACCAGAATACGTAGAAACTAAAATATACAACTTAAAAAATTCAAAGCAACCATGTCCACCTGTTCTAACTGTAAACAAGAGTTACCAGTAAGTATCTTCTGAGGGATAAAAAAAAATGTTCCTGGCCTGGTGGTGGTGGTGCACATCTTCAATCCCAGCACTAGGGAGGCAGAAGCGGGCAGATCTCTGTGAGTTCAAGGCCAGCCTGGTCTACAAAGCAGTTCCAAGGCAGCCAGAGCTGTTACACAGAGAAATTCTGTCTCGAAACAAACAAAAGAAAGAAAAATGTACCTTGTGTGCCTTTCAGATTCAACAATTTCATGAAAAGCCTTTAGGCCCAGCCAAAGGCCTGTAAGACCCAAAGAAGTAGAAGTCCAGGACAGCACAGAACTGCTTGGTTAATCTTGTAATCTCCAACTCATCCACCAACAAAACATTTTGCACAGTGTAGTAACTTTCCTAACCAAAAGTGGAACCTACAGAAATCTGCATCAAATGAAAACTTCTACCATTAGATCCCTTGTTACCTGCGTAACAGCAACTACATAGAAACCCCGAAAGCTAAGTACAAGGTCACCCATTGGTGCGAGGCTAAGGGTAGCACAGCCTCCCCTTTCAGTACTGCCTTTGAAGAATAAAATCTTGGTGGCCAAGTCTTTTAGATTAACACTTCAAGAAATCTTTGCAGGTGTGGTGCACTGTAATCGCAGAACTGGGGTGGGGGTTAAGATATCTGTTATTCTCAGCTGCATGGTGAGTTTTCTAAGACAATACAGATTACGTAAGCGCCTGCCTGAAAAACTGAAACTAAAACCAATAAGTACATAAATAAAAACCCTTAGAACCTAAGTTTTGATTCCCCTCCATGGGCAAACGGTGATCAAGTACAAATTCTAGAACAAAGACTGGTTTTGGGTCATTATAAACGAGAACTAATCCTTCAAATTGAATGAGAAGGTTTTGTTGTTGTTGCTTGTTTTTTAACTAAGACTACTCTCAAATTCCTCTAAGCCCGACGAAATTTTATCCTTATCATTCAAATCAGTGAACTGGCGTAGTTCATCGAATAACTTCTAAAACTCATTTTGGGCACCGCTTAGAAGCCCCGCCAGAGAGGCAGGCGCGTGGCCGCCTGCGTCGCTCGCAGCACCGGGCCTGGGAAACATTCGAGTCGGGCGTCTGACTGACACACGCTCCTGCCAACTTCCAAAACCCCGGGTCCGACTCCGCGGGTCAGGCCGCGCGTGGGTACGGCCCGGGTGCCCCAGTGGGCACCGCGCCTGCGCCTCCGCCCCCACCCAGCACCGCCTTCATGAGCTCCCCAGAGGGCCGCACGTAGCGGGCTGACGTCAGCTCTCCGAGAGCCCGTGAGCCACGAACGCCGAAACCCCCTGGAACGCCGCCAGCCTTCTAAATGCGGGCTGTTGCTGGGCCGCAGCCGCTGCTCCTATTGGCTGGCTTCGGAGCCAATGGGCGGCGCCAGCGCAGCCGCCCTGCCCCTTGTCCCCCGTCCCCCCACCCACCGCCCGCTTCCGCCCCGCGACTCCAGCGAGCGTCACGGAAACTTCCCTCCCGAGTAAACAGCCGCCCCGCCCCCACCGGCCCTACCTCCTTGGCGAGCGGGGGTTGTCGGTGTAGCAGGGTTGTGGCCGCCGGGCCCCGCTCCTCCGGCGCCGCGATCGGCCCCGGGGTCGGGCTGTGGCCGCCTTCCAGGCTCGGCCGGTGCTGCTGGAACTGGTGGAAGC